ATCAAATTCAAATCATTTTTTTTCTTTTTTTTTTTGTCTTTTTTTACGACCATGGATAAATATGAGAGAAGAATCAAGGAGAATTGTACCCCGTATTGATTAATCAATAAAATATTCTTGTTTCTTCATCTTTTTATGATTTCAATTTATTTTTTGTCACTTTAAAATTTGTTGTAAACGACTATGCTTTTTTCCCGTAAATTCTTCCTTTTTATTATGTGGAATATCATGTTCTCTCGATGTATCCATTCGTTATGCCATAAAATAATTGTGTACGCCGTCGTTTGAAGAGTTCGAAATTTAAATGATGTGTGAAAAAAAAGATTGAAATAATTTGTAAAATTAAAGTTTAATTAAAAGCACTATTTCATCTGCTTAAACGGCTTCATTGTAACGTCCGTTAACAATTAGGAATTCTTAAAACTAGGGCATACCCCATTTTTGCCCTAGTTCATCTTGTTTTTTCTTAAATTTTCTCTCGTTTTTTATATTGTACTAGAAGATAATTCATGTTTCAAGTGTTTGGAACGTCAATTTTTTTTATACTATATGATATTTGTTATTGTGTAGATCATCCTAGGATCAAGACACTAGGAACTCTTGAAAATTGTTTGATAAAGAGAAGTCCATTGTTGAAAAAGATATACTACTTTATACAACAAATAATGTGAGATCTGCTATGCATACTAATGTTAGGTCTACCTAGTTCCTTGTTAAGGGGAACTCTACATGAGAAAGATGTTTTGAGAGAAAAATTAAATGAAATTAAGAATATATTTCCAGTTTAAGACTTATTTGTATTCTCTTGTCCTCGTTTTTATTTTGGAAATGTTACATAGTTGATTTGATTTATTGGATTTTATGTAATGTTAATTTTTTGTTTATTGTAGTTGCACTTTTTTTAAAATTATGTATTACTAGTTTTTATGTATTGTTTAATGCATTATGCAATTATTTTTTTGACTTTTAATGTAGTTTCTACGTATTTTAATAATAATATGGAATGTTATTTCTATTAATTACGTCTATAATACTTGTCAATTCTAATATGTTTAAACAATATAATCTAAGTCCACAATTTGTTTAGATTAATGACATCATAATAAATTAAAAATATAAATATATTCATCAAAATCTTTATTAATTAGCAACACTAATGTCCTCAATATCAGTTTTAGATAAATATATTGAAGGTTTGTTAAGTAACATGGTTTTGATGTTAGTTCTCTATTCGTTATTTATGTCTTGCTTGCGTTCAATAAGACGTTGTGATTTCACTCATTGATGTGTCCATTCGCGACATAAACCACAATAATATTCACTTAAATTCGAGAGCTTTACCTCACAAAAAATATATTATTTGTTTTCTATTTATCGTAATTTTTAAAAATAGTTATCTCAAAAAAAAATTATTTAAATTTTTTAAAATAAAATAAAAAACTTTTTACCCATTTTACGTACAATTATAGTAATTATTCATGAAATCTATATACACTTTGAGATAACAAATAAATATAGTAAATATTCAATCAAATAGATTATATCTCAAGGTAAAATAATAAAAAAGAAGCCTATAAAAACGTAAACCGTAAATAATTTGAGATAAAGAGAGACGAGAGTTATCATTTAGCCATCATTAACGTAAGTGGTTACGTAGTCCCCCACCACTAGAAATTAAACTAATGCCTTTGAAAGTTCATATTTTTCATTCTGTTCCGTGTCTGGTACTCACATTAGAGCTTGACTAAATTTAAATTTGCGTCGGAAACCCTAACAAACAGGGGTGGAGCCAGCCTTCTATTAGGGGGGTCATCTGAACCCCTTCGGCGGAAAATATTACTATTTATACATGGTTAAAATTATTTTTATGTATATATAGTAGATGTCGAACCCCCATCGGTTAGTTCATGTGTTTAGTTTTTCAGATTTTGAACCCTTATTAAAAATTATAGCTCCGCCACTGCTAACAAATGCGATTATATACTGAATCTGAGACTTGTGATTAAGAACGAAAGAGCAGTTACTACTACTGCACCATGACCTTTGGTGTTGATTAATGATATTAATATAGTATTGTCTCATTCCAATGTGTAATGTAACTTTGACATTTCCTCTAATCGGCAAAGAATCCTATTTTTTGTGCAAAAATGTCAGGAGCAGAATGTATGAAGAATCCACCAACCCTCAACTCAGCTTCTGGAATTGGAAATTTACAAGAGATTGGAGGGCTTAGCAGCTATGTTAGTGGATCTATTCATTCCAAACTTGCCATTCTTCTCATATCTGATGTATTTGGTAAACATCAACTATATACTTAATAAGTTTGAAAGTCTTCATTGGCGTTGTAATTACATATTAAAGATAGTAACTTTAACTTCTTGGTTTATCAGCTAGTATTAATTCTTATTTATACTGTGTGATTGGTTTTTGCAGGATATGAAGCTCCACTTTTGAGGTAAGTACAGAGTTCCCTGTCTCAGATTTGATTCAACCCTATTTATTATGTCTACTATTTATTTTTGGCAGAAGTTTATTCAAAATTTGAATTGAGAGTGTCTAATCGGAACACTTTATTAGGATTGGAGGCGTTCAATTGAAACAAGGCTTAGTTTGAGTGTCTAAATGGAATATCCTGACACACTGCAGACCATGTATTAAGTCCTTTTTTACTTTCAAGATTTCCATGTGAAAGAACCTAAGCATCCAACCCAAGACCTTAAGGCCAGATCTTGAGGCAACGGGTGGTGTAACTCGGGATCCTAATGATGAAAACATGTTTGACTTCCAATAGGCCTCATGACACTTCAATATCCATCTTTGTTTATATTTTGGTATTTTTCATTTATGGAGTGATAGCCAAAGGACCAGAGAAACTTCCCACTTATGACTGGGTATAGAACCAATGGGTGATGCACTGATGCTTGGTTACAATTTTGAATCCGTTATTATGTGTTTGCTCTAGTTTTTTGTTGTTTTTGATGTTGAAATGGTTTTTCTTTATCCATGGACAATGAGTTTCGACATATTGGGCGTGCTTTGTTTGTGCAATATAATTCAGGAAGCTAGCAGATAAAGTTGCAGCTTCAGGGTACTTGGTGGTTGTTCCTGATTTCTTCTATGGTGAACCTTTGGATCGCGAGAAACATGACTTACAGACATGGTTCAAAGATCATGGCATTGTTAGTACCCTCCCTACCTTGTTGTGATTTGTGAACTTCTTAATTTCAAAGAATATAAGGGACTGCAACACTTGAAACTATTAAGAGTACTATTAACTTCGCGGAAATAGGAATATTAATGAATTGAGTAATAGAAATGCCTCTTGTGTAAGTTAAGTTTCTTTTTCAAGAGTATTAGACATTGAATTGGTTCTTAAAACTCTTTTAGGACAAAGGATGTGAAGATGCTAAAGTAGTGGTTGAATCTTTGAAGAGTAAAGGTGTTTCCGCGATAGGGGCAGCAGGCTTTTGCTGGGGAGGTGAAAATGAATTATGTATTTCACTTCTGAACTATAATACATTGTCTTGTTTTTTCATAGTTCTTCGTCTATTTTGGTTCATCAGGAATGGTAGTTTCTAAATTGGCGAAATACGAGAGTACTATTGATGCTGCAGTTATCTTGCATCCTGGTCCTATTACAGTTGATGACATAAATGGTACATTCTTTGATTAATTTCTCATCTCGTCCTGCATAGTACTTGTATGACTACGCGCTGATAATCTTGTTTTTTTTATCAGAGGTAAAAGTTCCAACTGCAATATTAGCAGCTGAACATGACCATATTTTCCCTCCTGACCAAGCAAAGCTACTAGCCAATGCTTTATCCGCGAAACCTGAGGTAAGTTGTATCTTTTAAGCATTTAGACATGTAGAAGAAGATCATTATATGCAAGTTTACTATTAGATTCATGTGTATAACTGATACTTAATTGTGCAGATTGAAAGCTTTGTGAAGATATTTCCAGGGGTAGAACATGGATGGACAGTTCGATACAACGTTGAGGATGAATCGGCTGTCAAAGCAGCAGAAGAGGCTCACTCAGATATGTTAAACTGGTTTACCAAGTTCATCAAGTGAAAAAAACTAAGGAGATTGTCATAATTCCTCAAGGGAAGTGAAAATAGGTCACAATAAGTACTGTATTTGCTGTTATAAAGATGAAATCAAGATTATGGTTTTAGCTTATGATGCATATTTCTCTCAAACCCCCTTTCATATATGTGTTCAAATCTAAGGGCGTTCTGGTGAACATTATGCACTTGTAAGAATAGGTAACATGTTACTTGTCGTTGGTTCAATTGCATTATATCTTATCGTATCACCTTCTATTTTGTGATATTAGAGAATCAACATTCATGCAACAAATCTTTTTAAAACTTTTCAAAAGAGCGTGACTCTTTAAATTTAGTTGAACAGTATTTTTACTTGGAAGTCTCCTAGAATGTCAGTATAAAGATTCCAAGAGGCATTGGTGCAGCACAACAGGGGATCAGTAGATGTGAATCAATAAGTTTTAGGTTCAATTTTAGTAGTGACAAAATATTAGGCGATTTCTTCTTATCTATCATACTTTAGGTTTAAATTTTAGTAGTGACAAAAACTATTAGGCGATTTCTTCTCATCTATCAGTCTATGTGACAGAGTTTTCTGATACCTGTTGATGCCTTGATGGTATAAGTTGGTATATATCTCGTGAATTAATCGAGGTGCACACAAGCTGACTCGCGTACGGTGATTATTTTTTTTTAAAATGTTTGCAATCAGATCTCATGATCTCCTAAGCCAGCAGACTTCATGCAACATACATATTTTTTACTTATTAGAGTTATAATTGATAAGTATGGTATTTAGGTATTAGTTAATGTATCTACTAAGGGTTTTTTTATGTAATTGTATATGTATAAACTCTTGTATAAATACCTAAATATATGATCAATGAAGGTCACGCTAGGTTCTACTTTACATGGTATCAGAAGCCAAAAAAAAAAAAAACTAGGTATGCCAAGAACTTCAGCCGCTGCCATTGTGTCTGTTACTTCAGCGACAATGCTACCATCCCTATCGTTTAACCCTACGCATCAACTCTCAATCAAACTGACTTCAACGAACTTCTTACTTTGGCGAACTCAATTTTTGCCTATGATTCGTGGTTATGGATTAGAGCATCATCTTGATGGCTCTCAACCAATTCCAAAAAGATTTCTTGGTGAAAATCAATTGAATCCTTTGTATCAGAATTGGGCACGTCAAGATCAAATAGTTTTGAGTTGGATTGTGGCCTCTGTTTCAGAGAGTGTGTTACCACAAATAGTAGGTGTTGAGACGTCTCGTGCAGCCTGGGAAAAATTGATTTCGGCGTATGCTACGGCATTGAAGTAAAAAAATCGTGAATTGAAAAATCAGTTATACACTATTCGTCGTGGTTCTGATTCGATTGAGATGTATATTCAGAAAGCTAAGAGTATAGCTGATCAACTTGTTGCTTTACAACATCCCATTAATGAGGACGATCTTGTTGAGTATGTTAAAGGTGGCTTAGGTGTGTCTTATCGCCCTTTTACACGATCTATTGATGCGACACAGATTGATGTATCTATTGATACACTATATGGTCTCCTTTAGACGGAAGAGAGATAACTCAAGAATGAAGAATCTGCAATAATTGCGCCAACTGCTCACTATGGAATGGCTCAACCTCAGCGAGGGCGGGGTTGGGGCCGTGGCAATGGCAACCGAGGACGTGGTAGGGGTGGCTACTTTGCTTCTCCATCACCACCTGGTCATGGGTTCTCTACTTCAGTACAAACTGTTGCCACAAACAACCAGTTCAATAATCCAGTCACACAAGCAGCACCACTGGATAATTCTACCATCAGTTGTTATAATTGTGGAGGACTCGGACATGTGTCTCGTGTTGGCCCTTCACCGAGGACCGAAAATGCTAATCGTGGTGTTAATAAACCATCTTCTAATCTTGCTAGCACCTCTTCACAACCCTCCCAATCTTGGCTTATGGACAGTGGCACCACACACCATCTTACTGCTAATCTTGACAACCTCGTTATTCACTCCGAATGGTTCTAAATTACCTATCTCTCACATTGGTTCTTCTTCTTTGCATGTTCCAGGAGCCTCTTTCAATTTAAACAATATTTTGTGTGTCCCTACCGCTAAGCAAAATTTAATTTATATTCGTTCTTTTGTTAAGGCTAATAATGTTTCTTGTGAATTTTTTCCTGTCTATTTTCTTGTGAAGGATTTGGCAACGAAGGCTCCGTTGTTCAAAGGCCCGAATGAAGATGGTCACTATACCCTTCCAGCGTCTCCATTGTAGTCTCCTGTCAAGTCATACTCTGCAACATTGGGAGACTGGCATGCTCGGCTTGGCCATGCTTCTCCTTCCACAGTTCATCGTTTAGTTTCTAGTAATAATTTAGGTTCTGATAGCTCTATTAGTTTACGTAGTTCATTGTGTCAGGCTTGTGTAAAGAGCAAAATTCATAAGTTGCCTTTTTCAGTGTCTGAATATTCAGCTCGTGGTCCTTTAGATTTGATTTGTTCGGATGTTTGGGGTCTAGCCCCGGAAATCTCAAATGATAGTTTTCGTTATTATGTTATATTTTTTTGATCACTTTAGAAAATATTCTTGGATATATTTTATTAAGAACAAATCTGATATGTTTGATATTTTTCATCAATTTCGTTTATTGGTTGAGAAATTTTTCGGTCGTTCCGTTAAATAATTTCAGGCAGATTGGGGAGGGGAGTTTCAAGCCTTGACTTCCTATTTGCGCACACATGGGATAACACAACGTGTTTCTTATCCATATACCCCTGAATAGAATATGTGTGCCGAAAGGAAACATAGACATGAAACTGAAGCTGGTCGTGCGCTTCTTTTTCACTCCCATGTCCCTTCTAAATTTTGGACAAACGCATTTGAAACAGTTGTCTTTGTTATCAATCGTCTGCCCACTCCTCGGTTAAATCATCAAACTCCATATGAAATTTTGTTTGGTGACAAGCCTGATTACAATCAATTATGTGTTTTTGGTTGCTTATGTTATCTTTGGCTTCGTTCTCATTCGCAAAATAAATTAAGTCCACGTTCAACTCCCTGCGTCTTCCTTGGCTATAGTCGTACTCAGAAAGGTTACAAGTGTTATAATCGTGTCTCTAACAATTTTTTTGTCTCACGTCATGTGTTGTTTGATGAATAAGTATTCCCCTTTCAAGAAATCGATGGTGTGTGTGTCGCGTCTACTAAGCCTGAAACAAGTCTCTTTTGTTATTCCTACTCCTCATATTGTTCCAGCTGCACATATGCATCCACTAATATCACAACCTCTACCACCTGCCATCCAAGAACCCACATCAACTCATTCGCCATTCTCTGTGCACTGTTCTCCTGCACAATCTCCATCACGTGCCTCTCTTGTTTCACTTGGTACTGGTCCACATAATACACAAATGCAAGGCCTTGATAATTTGATTGGTGGTGATGTTATTGATTCTCCAGATGACTCTAATTCTAGTGGTGCTATTTCATTGGATGTAGTCACACCTATTCAAAATCATCCATTGGTTACACGAGCGCAAATAGGAAATCTTAAGCCCAAACGTATCCAGTCCTTCTTTACCTCATGTAGCCTTGCTCTTGATCCCACATGTTATACTCAGGCTATTAAAATTCCTGAATGGCGATCTGCTATGTCTACGGAATATAATGCGCTCATTGCAACTGGTACTTGGAGGTTGGTTCCACCTCATCAAGCTACGAATATCATTGGTTGTAAATAGGTTTTCAAGACAAAAAAAAAAGAGACCAGATGGCTCCATTGAACGACATAAAGCCAGATTAGTTGCCAAGGGTTTCCATCAACTCTCGGGAATTGACTTTGATGATACTTTCAGTCTTGTTGTCAAACCTACAACGATTCGACTATTTCTTTCTATTGTCGTGTCAAAGGGATGGATTGTTAATCAAGTTGATATCTCTAACGCATTCTTGCATGGTAAGCTAGAGGAGGATGTATACATGGCTCAACCACCAGCTTTTGTTGATCCTAATCACCCTAATTACATATGCAAGCTAGAGAAGTCTATTTATGGTCTTAAACAGGCTCCTCGAGTATGGAATAAATGTTTGACGGATGCCTTGTGTGAGCTTAGTTTCCAAGGCTTTAAAACAGATTCTTCACTCTTTTTTAGAACCTTGGGCACTGAAAAACTATTTTGTTTGATCTATGTTGATGACATTATAGTCTTGTGCACGTCTATGCATCTTGTTTCTTTATTGCTTCAACAGTTAGAAATGCGATTCTCCTTGCGGAACTTGGGCAAGCTTAACTTCATTTTGGGTATTGAAGCTACATGGCGATCTGATGGGTTGTTGTTACATCAGTCTAAATATATATATGATCTCTTAGAAGGTAGTAACATGTTAACTTGTAGTGTTATTTCTACTCACATGTGCTCGACAATAAACTGCACAACAGTGACAACACTCAATTCCTTGATGAAAGTCTTTATCGAAGTATTGTTGGTGGCTTACAATATCTCACTTTCACTAGACCTGATATTTCCTTCTCGGTGAATAAAGTTTGTCAATTCATGCATAGTCCGACAGAGAAACATTGGGCAGCAGTTAAGCGTATATTGAGATGTCTAAAATCCACTTCTTCTCATGGTATTCTCTTTCAAAACAGAACTCTCAGCAATTACAAGGATATTGTGATGCTGATTTGGGAGGAAGTATAGATGATCGGAAGTCTACTACTTGTTTTGCAATTTTCTTAGGTTCGTCGCTTGTTTAATTTCTTGGTGTTCTCGCAAACAACGATTTGTCTCGCGCTCTACTACTGAGGCTGAATATCGCTCTCTTGCTGCTGCCACCAGTGAACTTCTATGGATTAGTCTATTGTTGAAAGAAATTGATCTTTCTTCTGGTTCCTTGCTTTCATTGTGTGATAATTTAAGTGTAACCTATCTTACAGCTAATTACCCGGTGTTTCACTCTCACACCAAACATATGGAGATCGATTTTCACTCTATTTGAGATCTTGTACAGGAAAAAGGAACTTCGGGTTCAATATATTTCTTCTCATGATCAGCTTGCGGATATTCTTACCAAGCCTCTCTTGAAAGATCGTTTTTGTGATTTACGTGGCAAGTTGAACCTTATACCTGGTTCAACTTGAGAGGGAGTGATAAGTATGGTAGTTAGGTATTAGTTAATGTATCTACTAAGGGTTATTTATGTAATTGTATATGTATAAATACCTAAATATATGATCAATGAAGGTCACGTTGGGTTCTACTTTACAATAATGACATTTTCAAGGCAATTATTAGACAACCCAAGCACTACATATACAATATCTCTCCTTTATTCAACCAAATTAACCGGGTTTTTTTTGCTAGTCAAAGATAGTATAGTGTAAATACCGCTTTCATAGGAATTGATACAAATAATATTTTAAATAAAATCTATTTACTATTATTCAATAATTAAAACATGAATTTTTGTGGTTATGAAGCACGATTATCGACTAAAAATGTAAATAAAGATAATTGACAATGAATAAAGGTTACTACCTCTATGCAAAATCACGGTAATAGACAAGACAAGTGCAAGATCATAATTAGGGGGTCGGAAGGGTTTTTCATCTGAATCCCCTCGATAAAAAAATACACTAAATATATAAGATAATTTTTTTGTTTTTCAATAGATGTGATTCAATAGTCCAACAAGAAATTTCAGAAGCTGATTAAAGGATTTTTTTTTTGTGATATTATAATCATAAATATACTATATACCATAATATTTGTGTGGTTATCGATTTGTGAAACTTGTAATCTTAAATATATTATATAGTTACAATTAAGAACTTGCTGCTGAATGCAAAATGGGAAGTTTAACTAAAGTCAAATGGTTTCAAATATAAAATTGTACTCCTCGTCCAAAACAATTAATGTTTTAGCCTCTAAAACTTTGTCCAAAATACTAATGGATCATGAGTAATTAAGATGAATATGATTTAAAAAATTAATTAATTTTTTAAAGCAAATAGGACAAGTAAATAGACCATTAAAAAAAATGAAGCGTCGTGCATCATGCTTTTGAGAAATCAGTATATTGGCTATTATCGTAGTCCGTAGAGGTATATTAATAATATAAGAAAGAATATTCAGAAAGCACACTAAGTTATACTTTATACACCTTTCTCCTTGTCGTTTTTTATGAACCTGGCTAATTCAATTTAGCACAAAACCAAAATATTACAATCTTTTAATTAAAACGAACAAAATTAAAGAATATACAAATTATTTGGTGTCCCTTTGCATTTTAGAAAAAGAATAAAGTAAAGGAGTTAAATAAATACAAGATCAATAAATAAATATAAAATTAGAGAAGAACCATATGCTTGCTGTCAACTATAAAACAAATAAGCAAAAAATCTGACGTGAGAGGTGACGGTAATTTAGTCCGGTTTATAATATAATAAAATTTTGAGAGAGAGAGAGAGAGAGAGAGAAAGCGTCTTCTTTTTCAAATCAGAAAAAAAAATTAAGTAAGAATTATGCATGTCAATTAGATAGTAAATTTTTATAATAAAATTGATAATTTGATAAAAATAATAACTTAAAATAAAGTATTTGGCCCGAGAAGTCAAAGTACTAGATTAGATGGTTAAATTTATGTAAAAATTACATAAATCTCGTAGTGTTAAGAGTAAATTATATTATCATTATTTATTTCTCTAATTATAAAAATTCCTTAAATTTATAGTATCTCGGATACATAAAAAAAACTTGTAGATACATAGCTCATGAGTTGCGAATGGTATATTACTTAATGGAAGGGATGTATCCTAAAAGGAATAGGGATGTATCCGAGAGGGGAGGAATGTTTCCGAGAGGAAATAAGGATGTATCCGAGAGAGTATTTTTGTAATTTTTTAAATGGTGGAAAATTTTAGAGATTATGATAAAATAAGATGCGTATTTATATAATTTTTCCAAAATGATTTTTGAACTATACAAAATAGCTTATAGTTACCTTTAATTAATATTTTTGAGTTTCATTATTAACATAATGAATTAGCCTTTATTTACTTTTTATAATTGTCCGTTCAAATAATTAGTAAATATATATTTTTATACATTGACTAGTGACAGTAATTACTTTTGGGCCAATAACTAATTAGGTAAATAATCTATTTTCAAATGTCGAAAACTTATCATCCGACGCCACGTGAAAAGAAGCGGCTAGATTTTCAACATCTTTTTTTTTTGACCCCAACAGTATTATATTATACGTGCATTAAAATAATATTTTTTCTATCCTAATTTATGTGACACATTTCGTTTTTCGAGAGTCAAACAGTTTAAGTTTGATTGAGAATTTGCTCATGGAATCTTCAATTTTTTTAAAATGAAATTTATATATTTATAAACTGCATAAAAAGTACTATAAGTCTCAATAATTGATAATTCAAAATAATTAAAAGATATATGAAAAAATTACGGTCAAAGATAGACTCGTTTGAATTTCGAAATTCGAAATGTGTCACATAAATTGGGACAGAGGGAGTAGCAAATTTGTCTTTGAATTGTGTGAATATTATATTTTGATCATTGGATCGGATTGGATGCTAATTGTCTTTTGAAATATGAACAAAATTTAACTTATTTTAATCTGCAGGTATTGAAAAATTATGATGGATGTTCATGTGGTTATTCACTGTAGCTCACTTTGATGCCCAAGTAAATGAGGTCATTACAGACTCTGTGTCCAAGTAGTTTTTAACACTTATAAATAGTCTTAAAAATTGATCATTTCTCTCAATCGATACACATTTTCTTGTTATTTTAGTTTAGTACTTGGCTTTAATTTTATAATAAGTAACATTGTTAATATTATTATGTCGGGTCCTGAGTGTTGTGAAAATCCACCAAATTACCTGAGCGGCGGAGGAGGAGGAGGAGCTGGTCATGTCCAACAATTTGGAGGCTTCAACTGTTATCTTTCTGGTCCTGTTGATTCCACCCAAGCTGTAATCCTTGTTTCTGATGTTTTTGGTAACTTCTCCTTTTTGTTTGCTAATTTTAAGTTTTTGTAAACAATATTTAGTATCGAACTACTAAGTATTGGCTTTATTTTTTTTGTTAATATGCAGGATATGAAGCTCCAAAGTTGAGGTAAGGATTGCAGTAATAAACGTGTCCTTTTAATTTGACCTTAGCTAATATCGATCTCTGTCCTCCAATTTTGAATGTGCATACTTAAACTGATATAAAGTTGAACAAATAGATACACAACATCCTACATGACGTCCTATGTTTATGTGTTGTGACTTGGAGGTAGCTATATTTGGATAGATCATATTCTTCAAACTGATAGATATATATATATCCTTTGCTTTCAAAATTATAGAAAGCTTGCAGACAAAGTTGCAGCAGCTGGCTTCTATGTAGTAGTCCCTGATTTCCTTCGTGGAGATCCCCGTATACCTAATGATGAGAAGCCTTTAGAAGTATGGATAATAGATCATGGACCGGTGAGTTCCTATTTCTAATATGGATAGATAGCTCAGGTAGTATCAGATTTCATGTTTGCACTTTTATCTGATGTATTATTGTTGCTACAGGATCAAGGATTTGAAGATGCAAAACCAGTTATTGAAGCTTTGAAGAGCAATGGTGTAACAAAAATCGGAGCAGCAGGCTTCTGTTGGGGAGGTCATTCTTCTTGCTCTGGTTACAACTTACAACTTCTTTTCATCTTTGTTAAAGTAATTTGCTAAAGAATTACTTTGAATTCGTTCCAGCTAAGGTAGTCGTGGAACTAGCAAAATATGCTTATATCCAAGCTGCAGTGCTATTGCATCCTTCATTTGTTGTTGTAGATGATATGCACGGTATGATTTTGCTACTACATCTTCTATAGCACGCATTTCATAATGTAATGCAGTATCAGGGCTAATTTTTCATATTTAGCATTTTGATCTTTTCATTTGTGAAGTCGTAAGTCTCTATTGTTGTTGTGTTTCAGCTGTTAAGGTTCCAATCTCAATATTGGGAGCGGAGATTGACAGAAGATCTCCACCTGAGCTTGTCAAGCAATTTGAGATGGCCTTAAATGCAAAGCCTGAGGTAGGAATTCGAGTACATAGTTTACCAACAATACAGGTTTCAACAGAGAATGAATTGGATGTTTATGGTGCTTTTTTCGTGCAGGTTGATGCATTTGTGAAGATTTTTCCTGGGGTTACACATGGCTGGTCCGTGAGGTACAATGATGAAGATGAATTGGATGTAAAATCTGCTGAAGAGTCTCATCAAGACATGTTGGGATGGTTTGAGAAACATCTTAAGTGAAATTTGCTTTCACTGTAATGACATGTGTTTTCTTTGTATGTTTTTGGTAATAAGGTTTGGAGGGTTTTCTTTGTATGCAAAATGAGTGTTGTTTGTGTTTGGTTTATGAGATAATTTGTGAAAGAACACTTGTTTGCCAATCCAAATTGACAGTGAGAATTTCACTTAAATGTGGACTGTGGTTGTGTTTATAAAAAACATAAAATAGGTTAAATTTGAAAAAGAAAAATAAAGTGGAAGTGAAAACAGGATTTTGGGTGTTCTCTAAATGTCAAACACAATTTCTTGGAATTTTCAAGACCAAACGTTGATTTTCGAAAGAACATAAAAAATTATCATAGCCATACAGGGCTGTTTTCCTTGTAGACACACATGAGGGGGGGTGGGGGGCTAGACTAATTAATGTCACTTGCTCAAACTTGTTGGGTTCGAAAGAATCATGGCATCATGCGGAAGCTTATAATTACAAATTATGTTGGTGATAAATTAGATTGCAAATAAAATATACTAAAAGCATATTATTAATATGGTTTGGTCAAGTAACCTACGTATTGAAAACTGTTAAATCCAGCAATTCTAAATAAGCTGGAGATGAAGAACAAACTGATTGAGAGAGAAGAAGAGATTCTGTATAGATTGAATTATCACTATTCTGCTTAACTGAAACAGATGCTTTACAATGCTTTATATAGAAGTTACTAGCTATCTAACTGAATAACAAACTCTAACTAATCTTCACGTGTTAATTAAAACTAATTGACAGCTAACTAACACTAATCGATAGCTAACTAACACTAATCAACAGCTGTACACATAACCAGCTGCTCAACATCCTCCCTCAAGCTAGGTGTATGAAAAACATTCTTCATTCCTAGCTTGGTAAGTAGATAGCTATGCTGCAAACATGTGAGTCCTTTAGTAAGCAAGTCTGCAGGTTGTTCTGTTGTATTTAAGTACACTGGTTGAACTATTCCCATTTGAACCTTCTCCCTGATGAAATGACAATCAAGTCTGCAAACATTTGGTAAGTAGATAGCTATGCTGCAAACATGTGAGTCCTTTAGTAAGCAAGTCTGCAGGTTGTTCTGTTGTATTTAAGTACACTGGTTGAACTATTCCCATTTGAACCTTCTCCCTGATGAAATGACAATCAAGTCTGCAAACATTTGGTAAGTAGATAGCTATGCTGCAAACATGTGAGTCCTTTAGTAAGCAAGTCTGCAGGTTGTTCTGTTGTATTTAAGTACACTGGTTGAACTATTCCCATTTGAACCTTCTCCCTGATGAAATGACAATCAATATCTATATGTTTAGTTCGTTCATGAAACACTGGATTGGCAGCTATCTGTATGGCTGATTTGCTGTCACTGTGTATGTGTACTGGCAACCTCACTTGAACCCCTAGTTCTTTGAAGAGACCAACCAACCACACAACCTCCGCCACTGTCGAAGCTAAGCTCCTATATTCAGCTTCAGCTGAACTCCTTGAAATGGTCTCCTGTTTCTTGGCCTTCCATGAAATTAGTGAGTTCCCATACACAACCATGTATCCGGTTATGGACTTCCTATTGTTTGGGCATGATGCCCAATCTGCATCACAGTATGCAGTAAGATGATTATCAGCAGTAGATGCCATAAGTATCCCTAAGCCTGGTGACTGTTTAACATATCTCACCACCCTTAACGCTGCATTCATATGGGATGTCTTGGGGTTGTGCATAAATTGACTTAGTAGTTGCACTGCGAATGCAATGTCTGGCCTTGTCATTGTCAAATAAAGCAATCTTCCAACCAATCTCTGATAAATTTCAGGTTCATTCAACAACTCATCCTGCTCATCAGTAGGAGGGAAATGTAAATCAAATTCTGCAGTTGTGAGCTTCTGATTCAACTCAACAGGAGAACCTACAGGCTTTGAACTAGATAACCCCATATCTGAAATCAGTTCAAGGCAATACTTTCTTTGATGCATAAGGATCCCATTGTTGTTTCTAGCAAATTCAATTCCTAAGAAGTATCTCAACTCACCTAGATCTTTAATCTTAAAGTTGTCTTGAAGAATCTTCTTTGTTTCCAAGATCAACTTGTGGTCATTGCCTGTGATCAATAGGTCATCAACATAAACAAGTACCATCACTAACCTTTTTTCTTGATGCTTTGTGAACAAAGAATAATCATAATGACTCTGCTGAAACCCTGAGTTGGCTAATGCTGTGGTCAGTTTGATATTCCACTGTCTGCTTGCCTGTTTAAGTCCATAAAGTGACTTTGTAAGCTTGCATACTGTCCCTGTCCCCTTCCCACTTTGATGGACAAATCCCAAGGGCAAATCCATGTAAACTTCTTCAGTCAAATCTCCTTGAAGAAAAGCATTGAATACATCCATTTGGTGTATCTGCCAATGCTGTGCAGCTGCTAAGGCTATGACTGATCGAACAGTCACCATTTTTACAACAGGAGAAAAAGTTTCCTGATAGTCTAAGCCTTCCTTTTGATTGTAACCCTTGGCTACCAACCTTGCTTTGAACCTATCAACTTCTCCATCTGCCCTGTATTTGATCTTGTACACCCATTTGCACCCTATGGCCCTCTTATCCTTAGGCAGGGTAGTAATCTCCCATGTATGATTGTC